AAGACGACATCTTATCCATTTGACAGGTCTTCTGCTCGATGGGAATAAATTTTCCTATGACTTTGACAGATAATCGATTGTTCCAATTTTTACAAGTCGTCTCTTTATAAATTCAGGCTCTTTAGTATTTATTATAATATTTGGATTTGGTGTTTAGTAAAAAATACCGTAAGGTCACAGTTGTGTTGCCAAAACGAGATCTCACTGTAGTAGTAGTATTAGTAATAGTAGTATTAGTAATAGTAGTATTAGTAATAGTAGTATTAGTAATAGTAATATTAGTAATAGTAATATTAGTAGTAGTAGTATTAGTAGTAGTAGTAGTAGAATGTAGTAAGTCATCAAATCGATTGTACAATATTTCGTAGTAACCCTTTTCGTAGAATAGTCCATATTCAAAATGATCAATATTTTAGGTCATCGGCTACTTCCTAGCACATGGGACACTCGGAAGTGGAAGACAAAAAGATATAATAACGGAAGCAATTGTGTCATTGAAAGGAGTAGGATTAGTCCCTGTTGTAGTTATCATGGACCAGCATCCCACAAATGTAAAGATGGCGCATGAATTGGGGGTAACTGCAAAAGAACCTACTTTTAAAGTTGACGACAGTACAGTCGTACTTCTGTACGATACACCCCATTTGTTTAAATCAATACGCAACAATTTACTGGTGAAAAATATACTACTAAACAACAAAATTGTATCATTCAAATACATAAGAGATCTGTACAAATCTGACCTGTCAAGGATTCCACGCTTGGCACCACACCTTACAAAAAAGGCCGTATATCCTAACACGTTCGAAAGGATGAACGTAAAATTAGCAACGCGCACTCTTAGTCGAACGACAGCCAAAGCGATAGAAACAAACATTTCGTTGGGATCGATGCCGGTTGACTCTTTAGCAACATCTGAATTTATAAACGACATTGACCAACTTTTCGATATATTCAACTCTCGGTTTATTAATGAAACCGGAAAGGTAATTCTTCTTACAATATTAAGCTAATGTCAGTACTTACATATATATCTTTCAATTTTAGCCTTTTCGTTCAGCTATTACTGGTACGAGTGAGCATTGGTCTGTTTTAGATAAAATGCTGAATCAGCTGCAGCAGATGGTATTCATTCCACAATCCTGCTTTAATTCACATAAGGTAAATCAAATTTTACAATAATTTTGTCCATTTTCTTCAAAATGTAAATGATTTCTTTTTTTCGCATTCACCTTATTTCATTAATTCATGAAATCAGTTGGAATCAATATTTATGAGATCATATATTCTATAATTTGTCCATTGTTACATCATACTGCAATACGTCTGTCTCTGCTTATTGAGAGACCTTTGATGCTTTATAAGAAAAAACAATCTGTATAGTTTTTTTTATAAAGATATGTTGAATATCAGGGGTGACATTTGATAATGGCACAAAAGCTTTTGCAAACAAAAGTTGTAAGGCCCCTTATACCCCGTTCACATTACAGCGTATATCACGTGATATAGGCTGTCTTGCAATGAGCACTCATACATCTAGTTTTCACTGGAAATCCTATGTATGAGTGCTCATTGCAAGACAGCCTATATCACGTGATATACGCTGTAATGTGAACGGGGTATTACACGTGAACCGAACAACGCCCACGTAAACCAACAACATCATCGGCTGGAAGAAATTTTCCCCTTTCGAATAATTGTATTGGTCAATCAGAAGAGAAAAATTGTTAAATTATGCTGATAACAGCGGCGCCGGTGGTGTAGTGGTAAGCGTGATTACCTCTCACCCCAGCAGGCCTGGGTTCAATCCCAGTCGGCGCCGCCGGGATGTTCTGAGGCATAACATCTCTGATCACGCCTTCCTTCGGAAGGGAAGTAAAGCCGTTGGTCCCCGGTTCATGAGTTGATGGGTCGATAGGTAGGGTCCAGGTGTGGGAGCTGCCTCTCTGGCGTCGGTAGCATTGGTGCTCAGCACGGAAAACAAGATCGACGGAAAACAAATCAAAGGAAAAAAAAAAAAAATGCTGATAACGATTCTTGTGAGCAGTATGCGCTCACCAGCATGTTAATCAGCACAACCCAACAAACCTTTTTAAACCCTGCTACCACACACTATTTTATTCAAAACAGTCTAGGTAAATACTCTGCGTGGGAAAATCAACCATAAAAGCTTTCAATTATTTTAAAATAATCATAATGCTTAACCCTTAAATGTACAATGTTTGAAAACAACACTGCGGAAAAAAATTTAATTTTTTTTTAGCTAGATCGTTTATTTGAAAGGATCAATTAAAATAAAACAGCAAAAAAGGTTATCTTCCATTTAATTCCACTTAATTAATTTTGGTATCCATGACAGATACGTATTTCGACTACAATGTGCAGTCTTCATCAGTGTCATTCCCACTAAAGAACTTATCAAAATCTAACCCCCTTAAGTACTCATCCCATAGGTAAAAAAGTCAAGATCATAGGTATAAAAATGAAACTACAATGTATTGAATCGGAACCTACCTAACTAATAACTTATGTAATGACTGCACATTGTAGTCGAAATACGTATCTGTCATGGATACCAAAATTAATTAAGTGGAATTAAATGGAAGATAACCTTTTTTGCTGTTTTATTTAGCATTCCGCTAACAACCCAATTTCATTACTTCATCAGGATCAATTAGTTTTTCATTGTTTGTAACTTTTGAAAATCAGAAAGTGTGAAATTAATCCATTTTGAAACGTTTTCCATTTTTTTAACCCTTGTACATTTAAAAGTTAAGATGCCGGACTACACCCCTCCCGTTCTCCAACGTGCACTTAAGTTGTGTGATTAGATGTGTTGAAATACAAATTACTTTTAGGCGCGAAACAGCTCACAAAACATGAACTCGATTCAAAGAAATCCACCTTGTGTCAACGGGTTGATACATAATATCTATGGACTAAAAAAGTTATGGATAGTTGTATCCGAAGAACACTCGTTTAACTTCTTGCGAACCAACAAGTTAAATCAAGATCCACTCGAGAACGAGTTTTCGTGCGTAAGGCGGGCCTGCGGTAACAACGATACGCCAAACGCTCAGCAATTTGGAACTGCTCTAAAATATAGTTGCATAAAAAAAAACATGCTTTCAATAACAAACACGAATTGTGAAGACGACAACCACGTACCTATAGCGTGTAATGAATCTGACCAAAACGATCTTCTTGAAAACGACCCTTTGGAAGGATGTGATGAATTTGTATTACGGCCGCTCGATCCTCTTGAAGAAAATGTACCAGTTCCTGATGTATTGGAAAGAAATGCATTGTTATACGTCACTGGATATTCAATATCTAAGCTTACTCACAAAAAATGTATTAAAAAGCTAAACCAGTCACAGGCTGACGACGCACACGATTACACTTTCTGCTTGCTGAAAAAAAACCTCAATTCGAAACACTTCATAGTTCCAAGTAAAAATGCGTTAAAAATAGGTCTGGATGTTCTGAACGCATTCAAGCAAAAGTTCCAGATATTATTGAATGACAATAGGAAAGGTATTAAACTACGACTGAAAGAATATATCGAATACGATCAATATGAATCCGTGATGTGCTATAACTGTTTCAATAAGGTTATCAATAGACTCTTTAATACATTCATTAAAGCAGAGGTTCGAAAAATTCAGCAGAAAAATCTTAACAATAAAAATACCAAAAGAATGAAAAAGAACACAAAAGCCAGGAGGCTGGGTATCCCGAGTAATGTACAAACATCCAGAAAGAATATGAAATCTCGTACAACGAAATCGACCTGTTCTACATCCACTACACGAAATGATAGCAATGTCCATAGCCAACCATTTGAAACAGAATATGTAAACTGTCCTGATGATGGATTTGAACATAATACGGAATATGTTAATGAAGAAAACCCTCTTGATGTTGACGGCGAAAATAACAGCCAATCAGGCGAAGATCAGGAAAACCAAAAAATGAACGAATGCATTAAAGCGCTAGAAGAATTACTGAAACATTTACCAGAACAACGGAAAATTGAAGTCGAGAAAAGGAATCAGTTTAAGCGAATTTTAAATTTTAGTATTTTTTTCGCTAATGCTCTATTTTTTAGAGATTGCTTCCGATTAACAATAGCTGAAATAAACGACACATTTGCAGAATTCAAGCCTGAACTCCAATGTATTTTCGACAAGTATAAAACATTTTCCAGTTATCAATTGGCCAAAATTCACACGTTGGCTTCATTTGAACAAGTCTGTCGAATTTTTAAGGATGACCAACTTTACGCGATGGTATTATATCTAGACAGCCAACTGGTTTTACCGGAAGATACAGGATTGGTAATGCATTTAAAAATAAACGTTTTCCATTCACCCTCACTAAACTCCGATTTTTTATTTCATTTTTCAGTTCACCGACGTTATTGACGACGTTCTCGTGTATGAATGGGCAATAAGAATCTTTACTAAAATTTATCATTTTCCTAATCGTGAAGAAGCCCTTAAACATATACAACTACAAGAAGAGGCGGAAATTTACAATTGACATATAGAAGTAAGTAGACAACATTTTTAATGACCCCATTCGGGTACTTTTTTATTACCGTGTCTTTTCTTACCGTGATGATATTTTGATCTCCGACTTTGCTCGCACGCTAACCTCCAAGTACCCATTAATGAGTAAAAAAGTACCCATTTCGAAGAAAAGTGGCTTAACTCATTAAATGAGTAAAACGAACTTTACTCATTAATGAGTATTTGACGAGTACTTCATAAAATGGGTATTTTTTACTCGTCATGTTTTTCGGTAGTGGATAAAAAGTACCCATTTTTTGAGACAAAAATCTTTATAGGGCTCGTTACCATCAATAATAAATACGCCTAAGTTCAACTTAAAATAATCAAACAAAGCTTATCTTAAAATCATCAAACATATCAATTTATTTATTAGGATGATAAAACATTGTTTATTTAGTTAATAATAAAAATCAAATCAACAAAATAAAATTCAGTTTGCATTGTCAGCTTTAAAAGATTCCAGAAACATAGCAGTCAATCGGTTAACCGATTGTCTTGTGCTATGTTTCATAGTTTTGAAGCTAACAATGTCAACGAAATCTTTAATTTTTTGTAATTGTGGTGAAACCGACACATTGAATACTGAAAAGCATTTAAAAAAAACATCAAGCACTTGTGCTGAGCTGTCTCCGCAGTGTATGAGTTCTCCCAGAATGTAAATGAAATACTCATCGCCTTGAGAGATGATGTGTGGTGCTACAGATGCACCTTGCTCAACATTACAAGCAACGTATCTTGCAAGTTGCTCAGCCAGGGAAGATTCTGTATCCTAGAAGTGCAAAAATAGTTTAAAAAATAGATTGATTTTTTTTTAAGAAATGCATTGAAATTACCGGTACAAAACGGACCAAATCTGAAGCAATCTTGTGTTCGATCGTTAGATCCTTATCATGCTTTCTTTCTTGTTGTTTCAAACCTCGTCGGCTCAGAGCTTGCATAATCCGAAGGCATCCTCGAAGATTATCTAATGCAGAGGTGCAAATAAAAAGATATTTAAAACATTGCAATCATATTTTGCATAAGACCTACACTACCGATGCTCGCATAATTGTCCCATCTTTGCTTGATTTCCTATTCATATGGGACAGTTATGCTTTTATGAGCAGCGTAGGTGAGACATCTACAAGGCATGTGTGCTAATTTCTGTAAAATTGTAGATTTTGTCAACAACATCGTAGTCTGTCGGTGGATCCATAATTGCCAAAAAACAATATGTGCTTACCATCCTGAATTCCTGAAAATATGCCTTGTTCAACCATTAACCCTCTCGAAAAAGTCTTAGCCAGGATGCTATTTTTGTCGTAGTTGGGTGTGATGCGCTCGTAAGTTTTTTGAATCTGTTAAATACTAAAATAGAATAAAATTGTCAAATAACAATCATAAAATAAAACTTGCCAATACTCCGTGAAATGACCTGAAGTGTGGAAATGTTTGTAGGATGCTTGAAAACGACCTTCTATTTTGCAACATCATAACGTATAGGGAGTGTGTTTCTTCCATGCCTCTCATGATAGCTTTAAAATTGGTGGATACCCCATCCTTGTTTGCACATTCTTCAGCAAGCTCTATTATTCCGGTTGAAACGCTTGTAACCTTCTCAGCTTTTTTCTTATGTGTAAATTTCCTGTCTGTCGATCTCAAATGTTTTGAAGCAGCATTGCGTAGATGTGAATGGATCAAACCTGAATGCTCGTGATTCGGTCCTTTGCCAGCATTCCTCCAGAAAAAGTACGACTGAAAGGGGAAAAGGGTTCAAAAAATTTCAACAACCTATCCATACTTATTTTTTATGGAGTACCTATAAAGAGAGATACGACACATCAAATTTGGAGAATAGATTATCTGTCATTATAATAATAACATAATAATCGAGTACAAAACCTGGCAAATGGGTGAGGTGTCGTCACTTTCGTTACAGGCACTCATATATGTTTTAGGAAAACCTATCGGAAGTACTTACATACTCTGGTGAACTTTCTGTCAACTTCGTGGATGTCAGTACAGGAAACGTTTCAATAATTTTTTTGGCCAACGATTTCTTCTCTTCGGTTGCAGGATAACTAAAATATGAAAAAATCATTCAAGCTTTAAGTTGATGGGATTTCAAAGTCGTTAAAAATAACTAACATTTTCTCATTTAGTAGTTTCGACACCATGCTGTCGCAAAGGATGCGTACCATGAAGAGCAGTTCTTTATGGATGGGTACAATTCCGGCATCCAGCTTGGAATACAGAATGCTTCTAAATTTGGCATTTCGATCCAGGGATTGTCGTATCTAAAACGATGTTTATAAATAAATTCCATTAAATTTTCACCCGAAATGCATACGGATAATAAATACTTACGGTTGTAGGTTCTGATTCAAATCCTGGTGCTCCACGAGATGGTCCGGCTTGGGGTGAACATGTTTCAATAACTTCAACCGAGTCTGCTTGCGCTTGTTTGAGTTTGTGCACTATGCTCAGGATCAATAGCAGAGGTCCTTTCTCAACGATTCCAATGTCCTTAAGATCGCTTTCAGTGAGGTATTTCAAAGAATCGTTGGTAAATTTGTGATCTACAAGTAAATGAAAATGTTAATGAGCTTTATATTGCGGGTTCATTATTAAAAAAATAGCAAACATAAAACATGCACATACACAACAATTTTACCTGGTTAGGTTGATCAATATAACTGCTCCCACCCCCACCATTGTAGCGCATTTTACTACACATAGCATTTACTTAGCTGGCTCAAAAGTTACAACTTGTGGAAGACCTCCCACCTCAAAAGCTACGTCATGTATGTTTGTTCCATTAAAGCACCAGACTTGCAGCCTGGTACAACTTTTCAAATAGTCTAAAGTACGTTAGCTAATTCCCTTTGTTGATTTTCTCTTTCATTAATAAATTATAAAAAAAAAACTATAAAAACGTTTCTTAGGGCATTTTGAAATGCACCAATTTGACAGTACCCTAACTGTGGACCTAAGATTGGGCCATTCGCTAAATATCTCATATTTATCAATTTTATCTTGATGAACGCGTCATCGTCTAATGGATATGGTTGCTGATGAAAATTTGACCTATTACTGAATTCATGCATGGGACATTTCCTTTAAGTATCCGGTAACTGAAAATTGTTGATGTTAGCGGACTTTCAGTTAAAAGTATTGCGGTGAACGTCAGAACATCTAGTGTATAACTCTTTTTTGCGAATGTGTCAAACCGTTACATACGAGCTTATAAAAAAAACTCTAGACGGCTCAAAATACATGTTTCTGTTTTAACAGATTTTTGCGATTGAAAATTAAATATTTTTATGAATTTGTCTGCCCGTTACATACGACTTCATTGAAAAGTACTCTAGACAGCTTTGTCACTGCACGGGATAACACACGAGTGAACCAGCATCGCCAGCATCATGATCTCCCTCCATATAAATTTTGTAAACAAGGTCAATGTCAAAATCCCATACAAAATCAAATCAACAAAGCCAGCGTACATTGACCTCTTATAGAAGTATGTGCAAAAAATTGCATGCATAATAAAAAAAAAAACCCACCAGCTGAATTAATGCAGCGGATCTCGGTTATGTAAGTATTTCTTGCTCACAATTTATTTTGATAGTATTTACTATAGTTCTAATATCATCTAGATGAATGTCTGCTGCTAGCAATAATCGAACCGATCTTGGGATCAGCCAATGTTAAAACCGCAGGCAATTCGTATTACGCGAGTACACGCTCGTGTTATTTTCACTTCAATTCCTTCGAGCATGTTTCGTGCAGCTGAATCCGACAGAGGCAATACCAGATATTTTTGGATTTCCGAAATGAATAAAAGCAGTTAGTAATGTTAAGTGAACTTCAGGTAGGTGAAGATAAAATATTAACTACCCGGATGCAGAATTAGCCTTTCCCATATGGTTTTAGGTCTATGAGGTAGTACCACGTAACAAGTGAATCTTTGTGAAGTTCCTATTTACGTAATACCGTGCGACAATTGGAGACTGCCAGCTGTGCGATCGAAAATAATTGGAGTTGCTATTGGGAACCTACAAAAAAATCTCCGGATGCTGTTCATGGTTCACTGATACGGATAAGGAACGATCTTACATGGCGTAGCATTTTGGAGGTGGACAATATCCTATAGCTTATGTCAATGATTGTCAAAAACTTAGTATGTATCTAATTTACTTCCCTTATTTAGAGTGTGGGAGATTGTTTTTAACAATTATTTAAATTTAACCACGAACATTTTAGGTCTTGGTTGTACGTACACTTCTTGCAATTACATCATGTTGAATGAAATAAATCACGTTTACATATTTATATATATACATACATATATTTAATTTCTTTTCTTCTATTGCATGCCTTCTGTTTTGGGCTGGGTTTTCTGCATTGCTAGCTATTATTTACAGGGTCTGTTTCGTATGCATTCTTAAACTACTCAATCATTATACTTCAAGCTTATGTACTGATAATCCTCATTCGAACTATGCAAACGCCACAAACTGTAAGACTTCTTAGTAAAAATGTTGTTAACTGAAGTTCGAATGCTTTGGTTAGTTATTTCTATTTTGTAACTAAGCAAAGAGTTACACAGCTTAAGGACTTTCAAAACTTTTATAATACATATGTAATTATTGTTTTGACGTAGGACTACGTCTTTGATTTCTATATGGGGGTACACTTTGTGAAAACCGAAAATGGAACATGTAACAAATTAAGAAAGATTTTTAACGTTATAAACTCAGCTGCCCCTGGTCCAATTTCAATAATTTTATCACCAATCGATCAGAAATATGGCTACGCATCGATAACATTGCTTCCAAATGTTGATTTTTGACAAGAAACTATTGAAAAACTGGTAAATGTCCAGCATTGTTCAAAAGCGTCGAATTAACTAACAAATCCACCAATTACCTACATGCATATGCTGCTTCCCCAGCACAGTCGTCAGAGAGTAGTAAGTAGACGAAACAAGTCGAAGTGGCATTCGCCTCCGATCCTCGGGCGCGTGCGAATAGGAAGGATGGAATTGCGTAATATTTTGCACACTCATCGCCATATTCAAAACCAAACGCAAAGTTCTTCAAGATAACCACCATGCGTCGTCTGGCTCGCCGTGGCGGTGTCAAACGTATCTCCGGTCTTATCTACGAGGTGTGCTGATGGTGTTCCTGGAAAATGAGGTCCGTGGTGCTGTCACCTACTCTAAACACGCCATCAAGCTTACACCAGTAAAGAGTTGGAATAGAATTTATCTGTGCCAAACACATTTTCATACACAAGCCCCCAACGACCACACAAAATGCTCTCCAGAGTTGTAATCTTGTAACCAAACTTGGAATCAGGGGTACAAGAGATTTTGATTGATTCTCTTAATCAACTTTCTCTTTGAAAAAGATTACTACAAATTTGGTACGCCTACAATTAAAACACGGAAAGAGTTGAGATAATAGATAATTGATCAATTAAAAGAACTAAATGCTCTTCACATTTATTCCGTCCACTAGCGGTCCTACGTCAAGCTTCCGTTCGTGCCCCTAGGCACAGACCCTTCTACTTTTTTTCTTATAATAGCGTTTAGTATGCCATAGTTTTGCCCATTACATGTTTCGTATTTTACAACAATCCCAGCTCGAATAGTAACACCGTTTATGGACATACAGTTGATGCTCTCGACATTGTTGGGCAGATCAAATAGGAGAAGTGCACATTCGAGCGATGCTTTCTGAGTTACTGATGCTGATTTAACCGATAATTGATCGACGCAATAGTTATGACTGATAATAGATGTAGTTTGCTTCAAGTTAATCCTTTTAGCAAGACTGAAGGTCAAGTTCCGAAAATTACAGCATGTCTTAGTTAGAGATTTTAATTCCTTATACTTTCCTTCAAATTGTAAGCACGACATGTTTACAATAGGGCCGCTTCGTCTGATAAGTGTAGGGTAGTGACTCAAATGGTGGATTTTGTTTATAGGGTTTACAGCTGGAAAACACAACTTGAAGCTTTGATAAAACTGTTTGATGGTTATTTCTAAATCATTTATCATGTCATTAGTTAGAGTATTGGAGAATGCGTAAAAAGTGATTTTCAGCAAGTATGAAACTATTTCAACAAAATCGTTATCAATAATATCTGAAAAAATGAAATTGAACGCTCGCAGGAGTAACCAACATTGTGATGCAGACTGACTTAATGAATTTCCTTTTGTTTTGAGCGTTTTAGAAGTAAAATTTCCACTTGGCTTATCTTTCGCTTCTGCAACCCCATAATCAAAATTTTGAATTCGATTATTCAAATCATTATCGGATATAAGTTTCTTAATATTTACAAAACAATTCAAAGTCTTCTTAAGAACCATGCTAACTACTCCCTCTAGTATATCGTGCATTGGATCAAAGGTTAGTTTTTCCGTGAAATGAAAGTATTTCAAGCAATGCAAGACAGGAGCTTTAATGATGCCACACCTAGCTGGAGTTGTTGTGCCATTTTTTAATGCTAACAGGTCATTATTCACACTTTCCTGAGTGCGCAAAGGAAAATGTACACCGAAATGTCCAGCATGCATAGAACTCCTTGTTATATAACAAGCTCTGCAAAATACTGAAGACTGAGGTGGCATCAATTCAAACAATTCGTGGAATGCGGCCGTATCCCCAAGCACATGCACCAAAGTGGCTCGAAGAGTGACATTTTCATTTCCAACATTCTTAATGATAACTCCGGTTTCAGACTGCAGTGCCATCAAATCCTGCAACAATGGTTGAAGGATTTTTTCGTATCCGTACTTTTTCACACACTTTGAAGGAACCATCAATGCAACGTAAACTCTGTCAAGTCCTGAATTAATTTTTGAGTCAAAGTTTTGAATTTTAAACGTTATAATGGTAAGCTTATGCTTCCCTCTGCGTGAGCCCAAGGGATTGCAGTACTCCACATCGTCAATGTGAATCGACAAGCGAAGTCCGTAGGGATGGATTCTACAAAATTCCGTTGTTGTGAAAAGAGTCCCATCCTTGAAACCACGTATGCTTCCATCACATCGTTCTTCCTGCAGTATCATCTCTCTTGCTTCAGCATTACTGAAGATCAAAGCCAAGGTGTCCTTGACCGGTATGTAGTGCATCAGATCCTTGACGGTTGATACCTTGGTCACTGAGTGTAACTTCTGTCGTCGATCCTTCCCTGCGCGGTATCGTATTCTTTTATTAATTTTTTGTACTCCTAATTCGATTTCCATTGGCTTAGGAACGCTTTGTGCAATTTTACCAGACAGGTAGGAAAGATTGATATCTGGACTTATAACATCTTCAAAAATATTGTTTACTTCCAAATCGTTAATGAGTGTTTTACCACCCTTATCTCTCTGCATATCGTTAGAGACAAGAAAATCTGCAACAACTCCCACTGAAAACTGTTGATAGTTCGACAACATTTCATAGCAAAAATCCATGAAATATTTGATCTTGGTTTCGGTCAAGGCTAAATCGCAACGCAATTTAGAGACAGCTGCCGATGCAAGTTCCCTAAGCTCTGCTTTTGTCGGCTTGCTGCCGTAATAGAAGGGATTTGTTATGAGAAACTCTTCCATCATATCCTCCTCCTGCACTTGCTCTACTTCCATCGGCTCAAAATCCGGCGAATGGTCCTTATCTTGTTCAGCTTTCTGGGGGTGACACAACAGGATGTGGGCCCTCAAAGCTTTAAATGATAGCTGTATCGAGCCACACGAGCACCGTAATGGAACATGATTCTTTTTGCTCGTGTATAATTTATGATTTTTTACATGGTTTTTTAGCTCGTCCAGATAACCTGGAACAAACACAGTGCATCCGGAAACAGGACAAGATAATCCTGTTAAATATCGGACGAATTGCAGAAAAAAATAAAAAAATAAATGAAAACTATTCTTACCTTCCAATTTCTCGTATTCCTCCGGATTCAGCTGTTCTTTTAGGGATTCCATACCGGCAGAGTATCTCGGACTTAAAAATTACAATTCCAATCGTCAGATTCTACCGATTTGCAGTTCCGCGGTGTGCTGTCTTCTGCGTTTTTTTAAAGTGGCGTCACTTTCACACTGAATCAGTAATGCATATTTTTTACTCATTTTTATTCCAGAACATGTTTTCAAAAAAGGGGAAAAAGTACCCATTTTTCAATATTACGAAAATACTCATTTTTTGACATTTTAGAACCAGCTCTAAAAATGAGTACAAGATACTCATTTAATGGGTACTTTCAAGTTAGCGTGCGGGTAAAATATACACTTTGTACCTCCCATACACGGCGAATGAGAACGACCCCAATTTGAGTTTAGTTCACTCATAATCGCCAAAAGTGCAGGAACTCAGCGATGAGTAAAATTTGTCTCATGTTTTCCCAGGTTTTTCCAGGATTTTCCGGCAGATTTTTTAGGGAACCATGAGACAAATTTACTCATCGCTGAGTTCCTGTACTTTTGACGATTATGAGTGAACTAAACTCAAATTTGGGTCGTCCTCATTCGCCGTGTATAAAGCTTTCATATAGTTAAAATCAATAAAGAACATTTTTATCGTTGAGGTCAAGGTTCAGATCCATAAATCAACATTAGATTCCCTTCGCCCACTTACATTTTTAATTATGCAGCAGAGTTGCTCTCCTTAGTTGTTAGATGCTTTTTAAGGTGTTTCGCTGTGAGATCCTTATTCTCGTTTCCACTTCGAAACTTTAAGTGCACAAATATCAGCTTCTACGACACGTACCACAATGAAACTGTTACTCCACGTTTGCTGTACTGCAGCATACATCAAGTAGCAATTTCATGTGAAATGGGGCATTAATTGCCAAGAGTTGTGTGAATGAAAATTCGAAGTGGAAGAGCATTGTATAACCTACGTGGCGGACTCTACAAGGAATCACCTTAAATATTCCGTAATGTAACATGGGTTAATGGTACACAGAAAAAAAAAAGTTGTTGAATATTACACCTAAACAGCTGCACAGAGATCATTCCGCCGGTTATGTAATATTACGTTGTACGATGTACATCGATTTTGCGAACAAAATTACGTCCATTGATGTAATATTGTATCTGCTTTTTGCTATTACATCATTATTTCATACATCAGCTTGAATTACGTTCGATATTACATTTTTTTCTGTGTAGTCTGACCCTAAATAGATACTTCCAGCACCATCACCATTCACATCGTCATCATAATTTCCAGCCAAACCCGACAGCTGCTCCCCCAGGAAAGAAGACGCACATCGTACGCAACAACTACAGCATCCGCAACGGGGAGGTTTTCGTGGAAAACAAGCTAAGTGGAACGCCAAAACTACACCAGCAGCAGCAGCAACGACCCAGGGAGGACGATACCGATGACATCACCACCGAAGAAATGAAGGACTGGTTATCGAAATACGTAATACTACATGCTGTGAATGAAGCGGAGCACCCGCAAAAATAACCTCATCTCGCAGAAGAATGCCAACGTAACAACAAATCCTTCGGATATGCTGAGCAATAAGTTTGGACCGCTGCCTTCGCTTTCGCCGCCGAAAGTGTACGTCAGCGATCGGCCCGATATTCGCCATGAAGATCACCGAGAAGAAGTGGGATATTCCCGCCGTACAACGTACCATGGTTACATGGTTTAGATCGCCACGGGCTCTAACCCATCCGGAAGCAACTTCTAAACTAATGTAAACTGTCGTAAGGATGCAAATAAATAAGAGTTTATAAGGGAATTTCTGCAATCGGTTGTGTTGGTGCTTATTTATTGGTTGAAATGTTATGAAAGAACATATATTTAGATGTATAGTTTTTATGCAAATATTTATTGTGAAGTATGCGGTTTATGTATTCGCATAACCACAAACCTATTTTGGGCCGATCAAGCAGAAAACATCAAATAAATCCATGATTTCAGAGTTAACAAGTCAATTATGGGTTTGGTAAGATACTTTAGTCAATTAGCTATCGAACAAAGTCAATGAGAATGCGTGATTTGAAGCTTTGCACCCATAATTCACAAAAACAAAAGAAGTGCTCCGTTCGAATCAATGTTTATCTTCATCCGATAGGCCGAAGTGAATTCATTGGCGTTTCAATGCGTTAGCCGAGTTTAGAATCCGTAGGCCGAGTTTGGCATCAAGAAGCAGTGTTAGACTTTTGACAATATCTCAACGATTTCTCTTTATTAAATCTTACGGTACGTACACAGAAAGGTAAATAAATTTGGAAGCCATCAGTAAGAATAACATTTCGTTTGATGCTAAACTGTGCTAGATTAAGAAAGACTAAGTGCGTGTTTTGCTTAATAGACCGTAAAGGGGGTAGTTAACCCTACTAAGAATATCCACTAATTATATGTACTGCTTGGAAGCCTCACCCAAGCTAATTATTTCCAAATAAGGCAAACTCTTGTGGAATAATTCTGCCATTTCCATCTCGCTAAACTTCTCTATATATCACTGATGCGAATTTCGCTGCCCGCTTCTGATCCACACTGAACTGCAGCGCCGTTGAGTTATCGAACACATCGTTGTAGATCCCTACTGGTTTCACTCGGATCGCCAACTCGTCAGACTCGGACCAATGCCGCAACAATCGAATTGTGGTGGAGCAGATCACATCCAATCCAGCCAAAATCTTCTTCGTATGTGCAATCTTCCAGCAAGCAAGCGCATTGCACTAATATGTGTAGTTTATCCTGAAAAAGTAAAATTTATTATACAGAATCCAGAATCCAAAATCAACTCAGGCACATTTGATAACGGCACAAAAGCATTTGTAAATAAACTTTCTAAGGCCCTTTACACGCGAATACCAATACCACTTTCGGAAAAGTGATAGTTGCCCCTATCCGATGATGTTGGTTTGCGTGGGCGTACTTTGGTTCACGTGTAAAGGGCCTTAGAAAGTTTGTTTACAAATGCTTTTGTGCCGTTATCAAATGTTATGGCTGAACTAAACTTACCACCTTCCGGCATCGGCATCGAATTCCATCCACCGCCTCGCGACAAACTCCAATCAGGTCCTCCTTCCTATCACCATCCTCCGACTCCCCGAAAAGCGTCAACAGTTCCGCTACGGAGGAGTTCTGTCGATGTCTTCTCAGTCGCGGTCGACTCTAACTTTGGTTAGAAGCACGGACTGAAGAAATCTAGCAACAATGGCAACAAGCGCGAGTCATTGGCAGCTCAACATCGTTTACTTCTAAGCAAATGTTAACCCGATGTGTTCACCCCTAATCATTTTGGCATATGATCTTTTGTTATACAAAAGAAAAGCAGATAACAACTAAACGTCATAATGACATGCTGTTTGACAACAGGCTCTCCCTTTAAATTTTCGTTAGAGAAAAAGAGATAACATACGGTACTTCCTACTTTAAGCTAGTACATATGAGTAGATAGTGTTGCCGTGAGGTACACTCGAAAATTTCAAACGTAAGTGCGTCAAATCAAATTTTGAGCCGCTCCGTCTGTCACTTCGTTTGTGCTGTGTACAGTCCACGTTGTGCGTGGTCGAACAATAGACATCCGTTTCGGTTCCTCTGGTAGTTCCGCCAAGCTTCATGGCGGGCGTTCAGGTCGCCCCCAACGATGAATCGGGAGCTAGTACGGGTGATGGCGGTCAGGTCTTTCTTGAATTGGATTCCTAATCCGTTGCTTGCGGCGAGGCTTGCGGTACACTGGCGTGGGCAGTAAACAGCGATGAACCGGACGTTTCCAGTTGGTGATTCCACCTCCACACTAATGGCCTCGATGATAGAAGTGCGGATGTGGGGCAGAGTGCAAAACTTGATTCCCTTTCTGACGATGACCGCTACACCACCCCCCCTGGAGCTGGTGCGATCAAGCCGGATAATGTTGTGGTCAGGCAACCAGAAGCTGTCACCGAACTTTAGGTGGGTTTCGGTTAGAAGACCCACGTCGATGCTATGCTTGCGGAGGAAGTCGGCAAGCTCAATCTGTTTAGCTCTTACAGAGCAAGCGTTCCAGGTAGCGATGGTTAGCGGTTTAGACACCATATTGGATGATGAACTTACCGAGCACTTGGATTTGTTCGGGCTTATTGCGGCACTTACGTAGAGCACCGGTCATGTTGATAAAAATCTCCATCAGTTCGTCTGCTGAGAACAGATCGGGATTGTTTGTTTGAGCTGTTGGTTGCCTCCAGAATCCAGGGGGGGATGGAGAGCTTTGTCCAGCAGAGGATCCAGACGTTTCTTGAGGGGGCGCGGATCGCACCCTGGGATTCGCTTGTCCACGAAGAGGTGGAAAGTCCTCTGTCCTGAAAGCCGGGGCCTTATCCTTCCTTCGTGCTGGTTGATTGTTGGTGGACGCTTGATTTCGGATGCGCTTGAAATCCTCGCGTTTAGGGCACTGCTTGTTGGATCCTTGGTGAGCACCACCACAGTTGGCGCATTTGGACGCCACAGCTTCATCCGCAGCACATTCGGAGGTGGCATGGTCTTGAGCGCAATTTCCGCAGCGTGGCTTAATGTTGCAGTTGCGGGTACCGTGTCCGAAGTTCAGACACCGCTGGCACTGAGTCACATCGCGATGGCCGCCACGGTATGGCTCCCAGCGAACGATGATGGAATTGATGGCTTTCAGTGCGTTGAGCGTCACCGTTCCCTTCTGGAAGTGTACCAGGAAAAGGCTATCCGGATACGCCTTCACATTCTCGTCTCTTCTTGTCATTCGATACACGGCACTTGGGGCCAGCTTGTACCGGTCCCTGATTTCTGATTCGATAAACTTCGGGTCGAAGTTTGGTAGGCCCCTGTTGACGACCTTGAACGGCTTCTCACCGGGAATGTCGTGGGTAAAGAATTCCACCTTGGAACTCCTCAGGTGGGCGACGACCACGTCAAACTCCGTTTTGGTACGGAGCATCACTTTAGTGCCGACTCTGCCCAACTTGTATTCGGCTTTAACACCCAGCGTCGCTAGATCCGCAATGAGCAC